GGAGAAGGAGGATTTCACACTCCTGGGGTCATCCCAACACCCAGACTCCGAGAGGAAACAGAGAGAGGTTGCAGAAGCAGAACTGAATTGCTGCAGCAGAAAGGAAACAGTGGAAGTTTCCAGCTCCTCCATCCCTGGCAGTGCTCCAGGCCAGGCTGGACTTCGGGGCTCGGAGCCACCTGGGACAGTGAAGGTGTCCCTGCCGTGGCTGTGGCACTGGAGGGGCTTTGAGGTCCTTCCCACCCAAACCATTTTGGGATTCTGTGATTCTATAAAATCACAACTTGCACGTTGCTGAGTTTTGGGCACCTCCTTTGTGTCTTTTCCTTCCCTATTTTCTGCAGAGCACAGAGGATTTGCAGCCCTTCCTGACCAAGGGGTGGTTGGAAAAGAGGGGATGAGATTTGACTCCAGGAGTGTCACTCACAGGCAGCTGCACAGGTTTGGAATTATTCTGGAAAATGTTTGGGTCCGAGACCCAAACCCAGCAGACTGAAAACTTGTGGGACATGAAATGAATCTGGAGCCCCTGAGCTGCCGTGGGCAGTGCCAGCACCCCCACTCTGCCTGCAGGGAACAGCCACAAATGCTTTGCTCCTCAGTTTCCCCACCAGGAGTTAGAACCATTCCTCATTTAGGAGTTAATTTTCATTGTTCACAAGAAAGGGATCATTTTTAAGGTCATTATCACGTGAAGCATTTCCCTCAATGCAGACACAGAGTTCAGGTTTGAGGGCTGGGGGCTCCTGAAGTGAGTCCTAAGTGGAGAATCAGAGCAATAAATGGATCATTCTTTGGTTTGATGCTAAAAGAGATTCTGGCACCTCTGGGCTGTCAGAGGTGCAGTGATGGAGTCACTTCACCCTTTCCTATCACAGTAATGAATTCTGGATCAAATGCTGCTCTGTTTGTGTCTCTAGCAGCTCCCACTGCAGCAAAGAGGTCGGGGAAATATTCTTCTTCAAGCAGTTTAGGATTAAGAAGGGATGAATAACTTTTCTGAGAGAAGAAGAATACGTTTAATTTTGAATTTGCTATTCCTTGGGCTTCGTGCAGCCTGCTCTGCTCTGCTCTCCTCCCGGGTTTTGTGGCAGAGGGAGACAAGAACTGCTGCAATATCTGCTATGATGAATGCCCTGGAGGAACCTAATGGTTATGGAATTACTGCATGTTTGAAGGGTCTGACATGGCAGATAATTCCTCCCTGCTCCCCCTGCCCTGGCAGCACAAGATTTAGACTTGCTGATGCTCCTGAGGAGCTGTCCCAGGCCCAGAGATGGTGGGGATAAGGTAAATAACCTCTCTGGCCACGGGCAGCTTATCTAAATGAAAACCCAGCTCCAGGCCCCTCGGAATCTCTGCCATCGCTCCTGCAGAAGCCCATATTTAAAAAAGAAAATGAAATGTTGGAGTTTGCAATTTCAAGTGGGTGCAAGTATTTCAGTCCCAGAAAAACGTAAAAATTAGATGGTAGATTGTCATTTTGGGGCACTGAAGCATTTATTTTTTTAACAGAGTGCAAAATGCCACATTTTATTCAGAGCAAACAAAACCAATCAAGGCCTTTGACAAGATATGAATGGAAGGGACCCACCAGGAGCTCTGAGTCCAGCTCAGCCTGCTCAGAACCAGCTCTGGAGTTCCGCCAGTGCCTTCGTGGTAGGAAACATCAGCAAGAGCATTAAAGCTTTAATTCCCAGCTCCCCATTTTCCCTGGGATGCTCCCCAGTCTCCTTTTTCCCCAGGGCAGCAGCAGGGCGCACCAGCTGCCCACAGCTCCCACCAGGGAAATAATTAAAGAATGGATTTTTAACCTGAATCCAACACTTCTGCTGTTTCCAGGCTTGTCTGGGGCACAAATTGGAAATCAAACACCAACAAGTTCCTTCCATCCCTGCCGAAAGGCTCCAGGCTTCATTTAGTCCAGGCTCAGAATTAATTTTCCTATTAAATGAATGTGTTCTTAAAACGAAGGGGGAAAATGTTTTCACTGATAAGATTGTTCTGTGAACCATTCCTAATGAGCTGCTGTGTCATCCCCTTCTGCCTCCTATTTATCTTGTTTAGATCCCTTCAGTGTGAACTATTCCAGTCCTCTGCTGCCTGCTAAGAGTTTGTTTTGTTTTATTTTAACTGGGAGCTTCAAATACCTTTTAAAAGCTGATAGTGAAATATTTTATTTATTTCTTCATTTTGGCCTTTTTTTAATAGGGAAGTGTATATAACATATATATAATATATATATTTAAAACTTTTTATCTATTTCTGTAAGGTTTGTAATCTATATTTGCATTTTTATGCATGGTCTTGCTTATTTCCCAAGGACATTTTCCTTCTTGCTCTGGGAAAGGGCTTGAACTCCACCCTGGCATCTTTAGGACCACTTGTGAGGCTGCCTTTAAGGTGATTTTTATATAAAAAGGGTTTTTTTGCCCAGCAGAAGCAGAATTTCATTGTCTGTTTTGCAGCAGGTGCTGTGAGGTGTGCATCACCAGCACCCAGCAGCTCTGCATTCCTTTCACATGGTAAAGCACTCTTGTGGATAAAACAAATATATATATATATATATATAACTTCCCAGGAAACATTTTTTGAGGTGCCTTTAAAACAGGAGAGATGAGCACTGAGGGGGGGAAATCCCTCAAGATCAAATGGAATAATTTTCAAGCTCTGCAGGTCAAACAAGGCTCTCATTGTGTGGCTGGCTCCTTCCAGGTGACTCCCAGGGCCCCGAGCACCTCCAGGCCCTGCTGGGATTGGCATTTCTTTCACATTTTGTGAGCATTTGTGGGATTTATGTTCTGTTCTAGGCGGGGTATTGCTATTTATCCTCCTTGTCCAACCCAGTGCACCCATCTCCCACTCTGTGGGAAGAGCTCACACTCTTCTGTTGGTGTTTGCTGGGTACCAGGGAATCTCCCTCTGTTTAATCCCAAATTCTGGATGCGGGGATCACTCTGGGAGGTGAAGCCCAGCCTGGCTGGGGAACCACCACCAGCACGTTTTACCCCACTGAGACTCCCCTCTGCCTCCAGAAATGTCAGTGAGAGGTGCTCAGCTTCCCAGTGTATTTTAAGGAATTGAACAAATTAGAAGAATTATTGAAGCAAGAGCTTTCCCCTGCCTCTGTCAGGTAACGCTGCGCTCGGAATTTATCTGAGGAAAGGAGAACTTTCACAGCCCAGTGACTCCACTTTTTATTCTTTCTACACTGTGAAGTATCATAATATTCTTTAATAGTGTCATACTTATATTTCATGGTCTAATCCCCTTTTCTCCTCCATTCCCATTGTATTTTTTCCAGCTGGAAGTCAGCGGCGCGCTGGCGATCGGCTGCTCGCGGCGCCCGGGGCTGAGGCAGCTCAGCCTTTCATCAGGAATTGCCTCCTGTCCCTAGACTGAAACACTGCAAACTTTGTGCTGTAAAGAATTAGAATGTCCTGTGCATAATGTACATTTTCTTTACCTTTTCCATGATCTGCCTCGCAGTGGAGCACATTTGTCACTGGTTTTCTCTCCTCGTGCCTTAATGAGAATCTCAGGTTTGGGAATGTGCGGCTTCTGTCCTTTGTGTCTAATCTGTGCCCTCTATTTCTCTCCCCCTCTTGGAGATAAAAGTGCATTTTGCTGCTGTTGCAGTTCCAGCTGAATTTGATCAAGATAGAGGAACTGACTCATCACCTTTCCCTGAATCTTTAGGAGCTGCTGTGGCACACGTGGCCCGGATCAGCGCCGGGCAGCGTCTGCTGGGGCTGCGAGAGGGAACAAGGGGCTTTGTTGTTGTTTTCATCCACATTAAGTCTCCTTTGGATCCTGCCTCTCTTGATTTTATCTTTTATAAGTGAAGAGAGAAGGGAAAAAGCTGAGCTGATGGCTGGGAGAAGGACACAAAGTGTAAAGCTCCCTCCGATGTTTTCTCTGCCTAATGGGCTGGGACAGTGGCTGCTCTCCCCGGGGAAGTGTGCTGGGAGCTCTGCTTGATTCTGTCCCAGGCAATGCTGGATCCTTCACAGGAGCTGCTGCAGGCACCACTTTTCTTCTGGCATGATAACAGGGCGCATAATTCCAATTTCACAATTCCCCCATCGCTCAGCCGGGATCAGTGGGAAGTTCCTGGAGGCCCCTCAGGCATTCCAGGGCACTGGGAAATGGGCTTTAAACAGAAATTTCAATGGAAGAGTTCACCTGGGGAAGTGCTGGCCACTTCTTTCCTGCAGAGCCATCCCTGTGTGCAGGAGGGGTGGCAGAGCTCAGCGTGGGCTGCCAGGGACTTGGGACTGGCATTTCTGCAGGGATTGTTTCTGAGCACAGCTCCTTCTCCAGCCTGTGAGCAGCACATTCTCTCTCCTCTCTGCCTGGCATTTCCTGGGGGCTCCTTGGCCCTTCCCTGGGGCCATTCCAGAGGCTGGGAATGGGGGAGTTTCCTGCAGGAGCTCGGGGTGGAGCAGCTGCTTTGGGCCAGCACCCCAGGAGCAGCAGAACTGACTCGGGTTCAGGCTTGCAGTGATGACAATTTGCTTCAGAGCAGAGCTGTGTTTGCTTTGGGGACTGTTCAGTGGGCTGCAAGGACAGGATTTTAGAGGATTTTACATCATCTTGCAGCCAAGCATTTCCCCTCCTTTCCCTTCACTGCACTTGGGGTCTGTTGCCTGCCCCAGCTGCAATCCAGCTCCCCATATGTCACAGATCCATCCACAGGCTGGGGTGGAAGGGAAAGCTTTGACTTGTTTGGATTCTGGTATTCCCAAGCTTTGACTTGTTTGCATTCTGATCTTCGCAAGCTAACTGCTGAGTTTAAATCCATAAAACTGGAATCTGCCTTTAGTGGGTCCATAATTAGATTTATTTTATCTCATGTTTTCCTGCTCCTCACAATGGATATTTTTCCCAAACTGCCATGACATTGGGTTTGTGTCTTCTTTTTTTGCTTCAGTCCTTTAAGTCATCTCTGCTCCTCTAATTTTATAAATTACTGTAATGATATCTTTTTTTTTCCCCAGTGCTGGGGCTGGAGTTTCTGAGCATGATGAAGTTCTTCTGTGGAGATGCAGATCCCAGGTTTTAATTACTGCTCAGGCCAGGTAAGCTGATCTGGGGTTTTTCCCAGGGAAACAGCCTTGGCTCTGGCAGTGCTCTGCTCCCCACCACTGCTATTCAGCATCCTCCATCTCAGATGGTTTCTGATTTTATTTTGGTCAAAGTCCTTGAAATCCAAAGATTTTCCTCTAGTTTGTTTTGCTTTGCTGGGTCAGGGGTTATTGCTGCAATCTCTGCTATTGCAGGGAAATTTAAATGGGGTTTTTCCCTCCTACTGCAAAAATCCAGGAAAAGAAAGTGTCTGTGTGGAGGGGAACTTGGAAGGGAAAGGAAAAGCTGTTGTGTTATGCAGAAGAATTTCCTTGCTTCTTTTAACTGCCTCTTGAGATTAGAATTCTCTGCCTTTATTTTTAGCAGCCAGGCTGGTGGCAGGAACAATTTCTTCCCTTGGCTTTGTCAGTAGGTAAATACCACATTTATTTTATTTAAAGCAAAATCTGGATGCAGAGGAAATGCACCAGTCCTCAGAGGAAAGCATGGAGAGCTGGGAATGCAGGCACAGCTTTCCTGCACTCATAATATTGCCATTAACGCTGAATTCCTGATCGCTGGCTTTTATTTAATGGTAACTTTGTGTTTGAACAGATGGGGCTGTGTAATGTAAAGACAATCAATTCTCATACAAAAGTGATAAATGAAGAACAGAAAAGCATGTCGTATTTCGAAGAATTTTAAATGTATTTATCTCTGTTACAGTGAAAGTTCTTCTAAAGAATAACTGCTGATTAAAGCAGGTTTTATCACAGGTGAACTATTTTCCTCCCTTTTCTCTCCAATAGCTAAAAAACCGTTGCCTTTTAGTTTTAACTTGTCCTTTTCTAACCCACCAAATCCCACTTGTGATTTGTGCTTTTACTGAAATAGAAAAGGATTAAGTGACATGGTGGAGCTTTAGATGTTGTGCAGCAAATCACACTGTCACAAACTGGAAGAAAAACTCCCAGGAATGTGAATTTACATGGAGTTGGAGAGAGCTCTTTTAGGTTGCAGGGTTTAAACATGATTATGAAAGGGGGTGGAGAGAGGCAGAAAGAAAGCAGAGAATCAGAGGAATGCTGGGATTTAAATTTGGGTTATTTTCTATTTAAATCTGCAGGCAGATTCTCCTGAGGGAAAGAGCCCAGGCTGAGCCCATATGGAAACTCTCCTTTTTCCTCCCCACGGGAATGTGCTCTCCAGCAATTCCCAATATTTATTGCCAGCTCTGAGGGAATTGGTGCAGGTCAAATGAGGCCACGGCTCCTCAGGCAGCTCCTGCGAGGAGGAGGAGGAGGAGGAAGAGGAGGGGAAGGTCCCAGCCCCAGGAGATCCCAGGCTGCTCCCAACGCACTCTGAGGGGACAGGAGGTGACAATCTGGGAATGGGAGCAGGAAAAGGTTGGGATCCACCAGAGCAGCTCTGTCCTGCTCAAACGTGACAGCAAATCCTCTGCTTTGCTCAGCAGGGCAAATGTGGCTAACATCGAATATTGATGCCTGTTTCCCAGCTGCAGGAGGGAAAGGTGTTGGAAGGAAATTCCCTGCCAGGGTCACGGCAAACAGGAGCTCTGTGTGTTGTTTGTGGGTGTTTAGGTGCCTCCAGCACAAGGATCAGTGAAATTCCAGGTCTGGGAGCTCCAGAGTCATTTGTGCCATGCTCACCTGGAGCTGGGAATGTATTCCCACTGAAATCAGCCCAAGCAGATCCCGAAATTTCCTCTTGACTCACCTTTGGTGAGTTTTTATTACCTGGGCAGGCTTTGCACCTGGGATCTGAAATTCACAGTGCACACCTGCCTGCAGCCAGCACTGTGAGGAAAGGGATGAGGATTTCAGCGGCACCACAAAATCCTTCGGAAGGTGTGGAGCCTCCAAATCACATCCCAGTGCCTCATTACCCAAACCATCCCAGCTCCCAGCTCCTCCCATGGGTTGGTTCTGTGTGCTGAGAGGACAGGATTGGGAATTAGCCCTAATTCCCCCCGTTTGGCACAACAAACCAGCGGATGCCGTGGATGTGATGCTGTGTGTCACATCCCGGGTCTCTGCCCGACCTCCTCGGGGTGGGGAGCCTTTGATGTCGTTCCAGATCCTTCCTCTCACACAGCTTTGTCTGGGAGGGGAATTCCTGCCTGACAGCTGCTCACACTCCCACATAGCCACGCTGTCAAAATATTACATTCTGCCCTAAATTATTTGGTAGCAATGGGAAAAACACCTGCTTGCTGAGAACACTTCTTCCTTTTCATTATCCGCAGGAATTTGGGGGGAGATGGATTATTTCGAATGGTAATGACAGCCCTGTGCAGGAGCAGGGAATTTTTGATTCTTCTTGTTCCACTCCTTGACATTCAGGTGCGTTGTTCTGATTCCCTTTTCATCGTGTGGGAGCAGCTTCCCGAGGTGAAGGAGATATATCCTATTATTTATCCATTACATCCTGTAGCATGTGATGTACAGAACCTTTTTGGGCTAACGGTGCAGCAAAGGCTGCTTTTTAATTATAAATACACATCTAATATGCAGGCAGGCAAAATTGACAGGAGCAAGAGGAGAGCAGGAACGGGGGAATGGCTTGGAACCGCCGTGCTGTGGGAAGTTTAGAAAATTAGCGTTAAAATATTCAGAGGTGTGTTTTAATTTGATTGAGAAATGTGACATTTAGATTGACAGGCAATGCCATTCTGAAAGTGCATTTTTCTGTCTGACTGTCTAAACAGTTGCTATGTAATATTTATATTTGTCATGTGTTTTTCTAGATAGAGGAGTTCTTTAGATACTTCAATTTATCACATGAAAACCCTCTTAAAGTTCTTATGTGTTAGTTTTAATGGTATTTGGTGATTTATAGGGTTGGTTGGGGTTTTTGGATGATTTTTTTTACAATATTATGGCGTCTGTGGAGGGAAATACACAAAGAGGGGGGCTCTCTTGCTTTCCTTGCAGATCTGCTCCAAGGGGAGGAGCTGAGCTGGCCACGGGGCTTTTTCCAGGGCTGTGTTGGGGTGCCAGGCAGAATTCCTGGCAGGAGGAGGCTCCTGGCTGGGCGGGATGCTCAGGATGAGCGGGATGCTGCCACCCCTGGGAGCACGGCAGGACGGGGAGGGCAGCGTGGCCTCGGGGTGCCCAGGAGGTTTGGGGCCGGGCAGACACCCCTGGGCTGGTGCCAGGGCTGCCAGCAGGGACCAGGAGCAGAACTGGCAAACCCAGCAGGGAGGGAGCAGCCCTGTGCCACCCCAGCTCCGTGTGACAGCCCAGGCTCCCAGGGGGACACCGAGGGTTTGGGGACGTTTCCATCCCTTGTTTCTCCCGGGTTCTTGATGGGTTTTTTGCTTTTCTTGCTATCAGAATAATTTAGTTCAGGCAAGAAGCAACAATCTCAATTGCCTACCAAGCCCTTGTGAGGAGCATGACAAAGCTTTTGGGTTTGGGGTAGGTACCAACCCTGAGTGCCACCCCATGAGCTGCAGAGCTCTCCCTCCCAGGTGTGGACATTCTCAGTTCAGCCAGAGAGAAAACAGAGAGTTTCTAACCAGGCAGGAGCCTGGGAAGCAGTTGGGAAAGAATGTAAATAATTCTTTATCTCTCTTGTTGTTCACATTATTTAGAGAGAAATTCTGCCACTGCACACCAATGGATTTGAGATGTTTTCACTGCAGGACCAATGGAACTGGGCTGGACGATGCTCTCTATAAAAAGACTAATATATTTGAAATAAATCCGAGTTCTACTCCCAAGCTTTCTGAAGTGGAGTCCTCTCATAACATCCTGCCTCAATGGTGTCACCCAGGAGAGCCTGGAGCGAGGGGTGGGAGCAGCTCCTGCTGGCAAGTGGCAATGGAGATGTTTTCATGACACTTGCCAGCCATAAAATCTCAACTCCTTCAAGGGAAAATGGCATTTTAAAGCCTTTGGAAGTAATAATTCCTTGTAAGATACGCATAAATAAATATATGGATATCCAGCTTTCATTGACACATATATATTTATTGTATTGCACTTTAATGTCCCCCCCATCTATTGCTTCAGGTTTATTGCATATTTATTATCTGCAGGTAAAGATGAGCATATTAGTTAAAAAAAAATCTATAAAATATTGAAGATGTGGGGGAAAGGAATATTTATTTAACCAGGAGATTTATTGAACGCTACTGTGAAATACGTCAGCACAAAGATGACATTTTTTGGCCCCTGTTCAACAACCCTTGAGGTTCCAGCACCAATTTCACTGCATTCAGCCCCAAAGCAGGAGCCACGCTGCTCCTGTGCCTTTGGCGTGGTTATTTCAGGAGTTTCAAACAGGAAAACTCTGCTGCAGGCACTGGGAGGGGATGAGGCAGGGCTGCTTTGGTTTGTTCCTGCCCCCAGGAAATGCAGATTTGCTGTGCCTGCTCTGGTGCCGTGTAACAGCGCTTTGGCTACGGGGAGAATCAGCTGTGGTAATTAAAAATGCTTCTGAGGCTTCAGCAGCTGAAATAGCTGGAAATATTGGGCTAATCATTGACTTGAGCTGGACTGGGCCCATTGATCACCGTGGTTTTACAAATACCTGCTCCAAACCCAAGACCTTTGTCATGCTCCTCACAAGGGCTTTGTAGGCACATGAGATTGTTGGTTCTTGCCTGACCTAAATTATTCTGATAGCAAGAAAAGCAAAAACCCAAGCTAAATTACTCTTTAGCAGAAATTCAGGCAATGGACACTTTTCCATGAATATTTCATGGCAGGCTATAAATAATTCTGTTGGATTTGGAAGAGCAGAAAGTGACTACTCGGATGATGTAGGGCATTTATGTAAGGCTGATTGCCTCGTGCCTGCTGCAAGAGCAAGATCCATTCATGGAATTCAAGCAATGTGTGGGCAAATTGGGCATTTTCCCATGAATTTCTTTGCAGTTGCTCTTTGTTTCAACTGCTAAGACTGGAACAAACACAGCCCTGTCATT